CACATTTTATAGATAGAGCTGCCCCTAAAAAGATTCATTTCAGACAAAAGCGTCATGTGATGTATGACTGCTTGTTTGTGTGGGAGGGGGAGATGAATTTTAGTCAATCAATTTTCAGATGAATGTTAGACATCTGTTGGACTTAGCACTAACTGACCACACTGAACCACACAAAAATACTGACTACTAAAGCCAGAAAAGTACAAAGGCAAAAATGCCCGTCACAGTTTCGTTAAGCAAAACGTCAGGTTATGTTAAGTTTTAACTGAAGAGGAAATTAGAACAGTGGAGACCAAACAGCAATCATTACATTGACCAGGAGTTGAGTTCACAGATATGTAGTAGCTTCCACTCTAGGTTTCCTTGGACGAGGGCACTGACACTTGAGCTTAGCAAGATGAGTAAGACGTCCTGGAAACATGAGAAAAATTATGGAGTGTCCAACTGCTGTTGCCCTCTCCCACAATTTGTTCCCACAATTTATTTTATCTGCACTCCTTACCTCATAGGAAATACCCACCATGCCCCCATAATAATACTGAATGAAAAAGAGAGAATCAAAACAAGCTACAAGTTCACTCCTTCCACGTGCAACGTTCACCTGTTAAGATAACCGTTTCACACCAGAGGTCAGTAAAAAAATGATAACCTTGCTTCAGTGCTGCTTTCCACCAGTCAGGTAAGAAAGTTACTTCAGTTAATGTCACAATGCTCCCATCATAGCCTGCGTTTGTGAACCAGTTTTCATAACTGGCAACCATTCACTGGCAAATCAAAAGAAATAGCAATGTACAATTTAACAGGACAGCCCATTCAGGGATAACGTAGTTTTACTGACAATGCAAAGTTTAGGACATGATGTTTAGGTATGATTTTTGTTCAGCTTCCTTTAAATTAACTCATAACTTAATTATATTATAATATTGGTGCTTAAATAGGTTTTAAATGCTGTTATTTTCAAAACAAGTGGAAAACTATAATGACATCTATAGTTTGAGCGTGATCAGGTTAGACTGTTAAATGTTTCAATAGATGCTTTTATACCAGACACCCTAATTAGAGCAGTCTGTCAGTACACTTCACTGTAAGAAAGTGTTAAAGTGTAAGCACTTTTAAAAGCAGAATTATCTTCTTTGAATTCCCTCAGAAAACAACATTACACCCTCAAATAAAAGCAATTAATGAAGAGAATTAATGATTTTAGTAAGTAAACCATCTGCTGCTGAAGGTGTAAATTACTTATTGGTTAGGATTTAACTCACAATTCACAATTTACTTTGCATAAAGCTCAAATGCACTGTTAAAGTTATTTTTAGACTGAACACATTTCAATTTTTTAACAATAGGACAGGTTGCATGCAAACACAATTTGTAATGGAAAGTTACAGTGATTTCTCAGACACAAAAAGGACAGGGTGCTAGAAAGTCTGATTTTAAAGTGGATTAATCTTTCACCAAATGACCATCTGCCACTTCTGTAGTTGCAAGATAATTCTTAAAGGTTCTCAGAGATTGTCATATGTTGCTATGTAAATTCCTCTTTCCAATTTATCAACCTTTGCATTTTCACTTCCTAAGTCATGGCAAGAAAAAAACAGTTTTTTAAAGTCCAAACTCAATAGTGCAATGGTGAAAAACAAATTCAGTCTGTGCCATTATAAAAGTTCTTGGAAAAGACAGGTCAGCAAGCACTGCTAAACATTTACTGAATTACATGAAATTAACTGACTGTACTTGCACAGCCTTCTTATGATTATTATACGGATCAACCATTTTCAACTTACAGATGATGTTCTGAACTCACAGGATGACATACAAATTTTAAATACTATTCCCTCTAAAAAGTCCCCCTACAAACAAAATACTGAAATATCAGAGATCTCACTAGTCATTGTACTAAATACAATAATCTCATAAAGCCTTTGTTATTGACTGCTTTAAATTAAATGTGTCAGATCTTCTGTCTCCTGAAAGAATAACTGCTGACATTCTGTTGCAATGTACAAGATCACCGGACACTGCAATTAATGATAATTGGCTTTAAAGGGCAAAAGGTTTAGAATGCTGCTATGCTGTATTCATTTTTAAAAACCGGACAGTAATAAAGAGAAAGATTTGCTGTATGCTGTCTTTGGTTATAATTCAGAAAACTAAAGTATCAAGAATTCTTCAAATCTTTACATGGGACTTTTAATCGGGAAGATATAAATAATGAGAATGATAATTCCTTACATTTATATATTGTTTTTCATCCCAAAGGATCTTGAAGTGCTTTATACATAGAGGGAGACTCATTTAAGCCACCACTAAATTGCAGTATGTATAGCACTAATGCCTTGATTAACTGATTAGAAGCCTTATTCAATCTATAGTTAAACATATTCACCTTTAACATGTTGGCTTTATAGATATATTCTCTTTTTAACATTTATTTGCCCTGACAATACCACGCATGTAAGGTAGGATACTGCTAGTTTACCTCTATAAAAGTTGCCCTCTATCCTTACAGAGGTAAATGAGTTTCTTTACTTTTTAACTAATTTCTCTGGCAGTGATAAAACTCTGTTCCTAACCTTAATTGTTCTGTATTGTGTCACTTAACTGCATTTCCCAACTGTCCAGTTCACTTAATGACCCTTCTGTTCCATTCTTCTACCTCAACGTGCTCGGTTCCTGGTATAGAAGTACTGATGTCGAATCACTGATACACATGATCTGCACTTTGTTCCCCGCCTAACATACAGTACAGTAGTGCAAATGCAGAATTCCCTGTACACCAAGACTAACACAGTATTCCTGCATTCAAAACAGTAAGTTTGAGCAGTCAATTAGACTTAATTATAGGTTATTTTCAAAATGATCTATCCCAATTACGGTTTCACATGTTTAAAGGAAATTGTGGCTACATGCAGAGCGAAATATGAATTACAGATACAGCAAGTTTTATCAAGATGCATATTCAAAGCAAAGCTGGGTTTTTTTATTTTTAGGCACTACATTGTATATTATACTTTGAAGACACATGGAAATACTCAAAAACGTTTCTTTCCAACAGAAAAGAAACTAAGTGAGCCACACATCTTTTGTTATTGATCTATGAAACACATTTGCCCTTAAGGTAAACAATAACAATCTGAAAACATTTTCATCTTGCTATTAACTCTGCCATGTGTTGGTCGACTTTAATTGGAGTTATGTTGAATTTAGTGTTGCGAACATGAATTAAACACGACCAGAAGATAAATTTCACTGCTGGCTGGACAGAAGAAATTTACTTTAATTTGTACACACACCCTTAGAGTACAGTATGCTATATACGGGGAAAATAATCCCAAACTCCATCTCAAGGAAAGATTAAACACTGTCATTTACCAGGTTGGTGACACACTACTCAGTCGGTAACTTGTGACAGGGACCATATTTCATACGCTGCGAGCTAGCAAGAAACTGGCGAATACTGCTTTGTCTTTCCAACAACATGATTTTCGGCTGTGAAATATATCATGAGAACCAGGAACAATGTCGGTAGTCTTTCTGTTGTTTTTCCACTTAGAAACTGACTGAATTGCTTTAATTACAAAGAAAAGAACAATAAACAGATTACAGAAAAAAGCTTATACTATCATTTATGGTATTCTGATTGTATCTCAGCGAGTCCAGACCTATTCCAAAGAGAACAGTAAGGGGGATACCTGATTCTTTCATCATCATACCGAATCCTGATTTTAAAAATAGGAAAAACTGTAGCAAAGTCACAAACTGATGTTGGTGGGTAAAACACCAGATCAAGACATTAGGCAAACTTAATAATGACCAACATTCTTTCCTCCTAAATAAATGAACAAATCAACCAGGTTTGTATGACAGGACAAGCTCAAGGAGTTTAATCTGTATCAATTCACAGCATTCAGGGCATGTATAAAACAACAACCAATACTGTGGTCAAGTACATTGGTATTGTATACGATAAGACCCTAACCCTAAATTACATTTCTTCACTGTACTACCTGAGCTAATCCTACCATTAATCATGAGACTGAAACAGGAATGAGACTGTAAGGAATCAATTTTCTTGAAGATATGTCTTTAGAGATTTCAATAAGACTTCCATGAAATACTCTAGAAAGTAAAAATTGCTTAAGGTTTTAAAGGATTTTGCATTATATTTTAAAATTATATTTTGAATTCAGGCTTTATAATTTCTTAAAGAAATAAAACCACATGATTGCAAGAGACAATTATAAGCATATTTTATCAACACTGTCAAGCACATACTGTACAGTATAATTCTTATTTTTAGTGTTGACCTACATATGCTTTATGACAGAAGTGATTGAGTGCAGCCCCTTAATGGTGGTCTAATGGTATATCATTCCAGATTTCTCAAACTTATAACCTACCAGAATTATTCAAGGTCTTAACAATCAATTGTTTATCCCAAGGGGCAAAAGCACTACTGCCAAGAATGAGTTAACAGCATGTACAGCAGATACAGACAAACCCCAATAATGATTCAGATAAAGCAAGACTGTAAAACTGACAGTTTCCTTAACTTGCTTGATCTGATGGACGACTGCCCGGACATACTGATGAGGAATTCAGAACACCCCTATAATAAACCAAAGGCCTGTGAAAGTGATGGTGGTGGAGGGCTATGAGCATGGTAAACCCTTGGAAATAATGGTCTAAAGAGCAAAAGGTTTCCCCATCTAGACAGCAATGAGCTTGTCCTTCTCCTGAACATTATGAACTCCCATTAAATTGTTCAGCACCTTAAAAAAAACAACAGCTGCAAGATAACGGTCAAAACTATCTCCAGGAACTTATGTGATAATCAGTCTCCTGAAATTTGGAGACTTTAATCAGTCTCCTGAAATTTGGAGACTTTAAAACCTAATTTCCACATATGAATACGACTGAGAAAAAAATAGTCATTTTGCATCACATGTTCTAGATGAAAACCACCCCAGGGTCAATGGTAAAACAACCGAAATACTTACGGCTGGCACCAATAGCTTTTTGACTTCCTCTACAGCCCTTTTCAGTTTGATTTCAGCTCTGTTCTGGGCATCTTCCACAGTGATTAATACATGTAGGTCTTCGTTTAGGTGCTCCCAGTTCGGCTTCCCTCGGTTTTGTTCTTCCTTAAATGGTCAAGAAAAAGACAAATATAAATTAGGCTAAAATAGATTAAGAAGTATCTAACGAGTTATGCAGGGAAATTTAACTACTTTGTCCTTGTGTACATTTTTAAAGGCTGTTTACTTTTCGATACATTTTATCATTTTCATTTCTTTTACTCTGGTATACTGTAATATGACTCATTGTAAAGCCCATTTGAGGTGGTGTTCACCAAGCAAAAAGCCTCCCATAAAAGAAAATTGATTGATTGTTGTAAAGGTTCAGTGTGTCATCCGTGGAGGCTAAAAAATAAATCACAAAGGAGATGCGCATAGTGCTTGGTCTCAAGACAGTGGATGATAGACAGACTCTCCTGATAAACCACTGAAAACAGGAGACTCCACGTGAAGTCGAGATCTGAATGAGCTGGGACACATCCTCATCATCTTCTTGAGGGCAAAGGTGTTTTTTGAACATCTGAGGCCGCCTTCTTTGTTACAGGCAAAATCTCAGATCATTATTACTGAACACCAACTCGCAATACTGTCGGTTTTGAGCTCAATAACCTCCTATGACAAAACCAAACCAAAAACAGTCCATTGCTTCATGTTTAGAAGTCTAAAAGAAGTCACTATTTCATCAAAGTTATTTTTAAAATTATGTTTCAAATAGCAGTTACTCTTTCCGACACATTCTAACAGGAACTGCAAGTGTGCACTATGCTACCATTTAATCTAGGACAAAAGTATCTGCCAAAAGATGTTTTCAGTGATTTTTGGTTCCCTCAGCTTGTCAGTGTGAAAGCTTCTTCATTTGTGCTTCCATCACACCCACACACACTAATTATCATTTTTGAACAATTGCTACCCAGGATTCTTGGGGAAAAGTAATGGGCTGTGCTTCTGGGTGTCAAGAGTGCTGCGTTGCTTTTTCATTCTATAGACCGCCTGTGGAGTCTGCAAGTCAACACTAGTGCTGTGACGTAATGCTGCTCTTTTCCTATAGTCGACTTCTCAAAGCAAGGTCCTAAAATGATCAACCTAGCCTCACAGTGATGTATCCAGCCAGTCCTTGTACATATTAGTGCAGGCCAAAGAATTTCAGTATCTCCAGCGACTTCTGCTTTCAAAAACGTTGTGGGGTGTGGGGGAAGAAACTGTTTTCATAAATTAAAAATAAGCTTAATTTTGTGAGATGCAGCGTTCAGAATATACTGTGGAGGAATGTAGTTAACAGGCAATGAGCACAAGCTGCATTTTCAATTTTCAAGAATAGAGTTTCAAATCCAGACTGTTGTGCAGAAAGATAATACAGCAGCCCACACTTGGGAGCAGCAGAGATTCAAGTGAAACAACAGGTTGCAGAGAGACATGACAAAGACTGATATGGCTGAACAGGACTGCAAACATAAGACAAACTCTGTATCTCTTCTTTGTACTCGAATGTATCCAACTTTGAACAATGTCTTCTCACTCTTTCCCACACCGTTTCTAGGTGGTTTTACAGCTGTGCTGGACCGACTGGCATAAAAACCTTTTCTTCTATCTCTATGCAGAGCTGTGCCCGAGTTTCATTTCCTCAAACCAAACTCTTTTCTCTGTGATCTTAAAACATCAAATGGCAGCACTTTTAGAGAATGCACACATCTAAAAGTAAAACTGAATGAATACAAAATAAAAACGGAGAAAAAAATGCTTTTAAGAAAGATGCCTGAGAAGCACTAAACAAATTTCAATGGAAAGAAAGGGGGCTGTATTTAAAAGGCCCCACATTTATATGCTGGGCACTGGTCCAAACCTATTCAACTGGAAAAACTATATGTAAGATTTAATAGGCAAAGTTCAAAACTGAAGCAAAGTTCCCTCTAGGGATCCTCTCATCATCTTCTTTTCACTTTCACTTTTTGGTATTTGCTTTAGCTTTTTCTCCTATTAAATCCCCATCTCCTCACAGAAGACCTCTGCTCAGGTCAACACACTGGCCTCTCCAATAACACCTCTAGTAGTTACTTCTGCACCTAAGAAACTGTTCTGCCCGCAGAAAACCCTGTTCTTTACTAGGCTCCACTTTCCTACAGGTAGAGTACAAAAACTGTTTGCCCACAGATTTGGAAATTTCAACTTTAAAATAATGTTTTTCTAGCGACGTTTGAAGTTTACTCTTTTAAAAAAAATGTAATGATTATGTAAATGTCCTCCTATGTAATTGAATATTTTCGAAGCAATACCTTAAAAATAATTAATGTTCAATTTGTTTTCGAGTTTTGTTAATTGTCACCTTCATTGTGAATGTTTGATTAATTGTGTACTGCATACATGTTTTACATAAACATATTAGCATATTAGTTCAGAAATACTGTAAAAATGGTCAATGATAATACTGGTATTGATAAACTAAATGAAGTGATTCAATCCAACTGAAATGCTGGCAATGTATTTCTACTCTTTAAATTGTTGGTTGAAGTTGCAAAGAACACATTCTAGTGGTGGAAGAGCTGTGCATTACATAAACCATCATATCCATCACAGTCTAGGTGACATATAAAATAGCTGCAATTATAGTAATGATCATCACAAAATGCAACTCCAACAGTTAATGAAACAAAGAATGAGATTTTTTATAATTAGACATAAAATGGAACATGAGCTACTGTCTTGCTAAGAAAGATTTACAATAAAGCACTAATTATTTGTTTGAACAACACAAGGAGAGCTGTAACTTGAAGCATCATGACACACTGATTATCCTAACCCCCGCTGATGAACTGCTATAACTGCATCTCTCATAGAGCACATTATCTGCAAGTTTTTCTCCCACTGTGCACCTGATGGTGACTACCCAGGCAGAGCACTGTGGGAAATAATATATGAATAAACCCAGCATGTAGTCAAAACTGAAAGCACTTACTTAAGTAACCTTTGAATAGAGTTCATATTCTAAGTGTTTACTAAAGAATCACATTGCACTTCTATTTATTAGTAACATTTTTAACAGCAGCCACAAAGTTAGTCATAAATCCCATTTGGCTTCTTCATATCAATGGCATTATGCATTCTAAATTTGTCTCTCATTTTAAGTGAACATGGTCTTTCACAAAAGTCTTTGTCTTCAAAACTCCATAATAAACATATTGTATATTTTTTAGATTAATATGCAAGAAATGCCTTTAATTTGCAGAAATGTTATTACAGTATCCCATGTAAAATGTCTGATATCTCCTGCTCATATCGTCAAACTACTGTATTTCCTAAAGGACTGAAACACTTTAAGAGAAAATCATGACATTTAAAGCAGTGCATTAATATACTCTTCGGACTTCCATTTCATTATAACTTTTAAATATGCCTTAATGAGAAGAGAGAGAGTTTTAGGATTCAGACAAACAGGTTGTCTTTGTGTATTTTTAAAATAATTTGTAGCACATATTAAATTCGTCTTGGTTAGGTAATTAAACTAATAAAGCCTAGGCTGGAAATGTTTATTTAAAAATGCAAACACAAACAGATCTTGTAAATCTTTTGCATCTTGTCATATGCAAACCCTTTACTCAAATAGAGAGTTAATAATGCATTCTGCTGATCAATACTAAGGTAATTTTCCTACACTATTATAATCAATCAATACCATTAGGAAAATTGACAAAAACTAATGCCTGTTGGCCACTTCCACTCTGAGCAGTTGAAACGCAAAATGTCATCTTAAAGCAGCCAGGAATAAATCACTCTGCACACAAGACAAAATTTTAAAGGATTTCAGCTGTGACATCAATACACTACTAAAAATAAATTTGGATACGATTAACAGTATCTTTGATTTCAATCACACTTACTCCCCAAGATAAAAAATTTCCCTTCAATGGGTCAAGGACATTTTTGCTTTTGTAAATAAGGACCAGCCAGGCTCAACTGAACATTGCGACAAACTTACCATAATAATGTATGGTAAAATTACCATAAAACTCATACATTTCTTCCTGTCTCTTTTACACACAAGTATTTAAAAATCAAGGGAGTTTTTTTTTTCCAAATAACATTAATTTTCCATTTGATCATCATAATTTCCAACATACTATAAATGGACAGAGGAACAACAAAGGGTATTTATCTTGTTTCTTTAAAAATGCCTAATGTCTACCCGGGACTTTTATTTGAAAACAGGGGGATGTGACAAGTATCTTTCCCTAGTACAGTATATGCCACATCTCCTTTTTACCAGTTTCACTGGTTTTGTTCTACAAACAGCTCTGTGCGTCATGAATGTAGGAGATCCCTGTGTTATCAGAAGGGAAGGAAATAATAAGAATGAATCAAGAAGTCAGAGTGAAATTAGCAATGTGTCAAAATGTAACAAGCTTCTCTAGCAGTGAAAAGTGTACTTCAGAATACTTCTGAATAAGCAGCTGGTGGACTTTAAGATGTTGTCTTCCTACAAGTAAAATGTACTACTGTACCTGCTACATACTGTATCTGCTTCAGATGTAATTATTAGCTCTGTCTCAGTCAAGTACAAAGGCTGTCAGTCTAATACTGTAGATACTGTATCTGATGAGGTTGGAATTATCAGGGAATGTTAATCAGAACAAAATTCCGACCTTCATAATAATATATGCCGTATACATTATATAAATCTACTAAATACCTTTAAATGTAAAGATGAGCCTGTATAAACAGCACAGGGTTTTAATACTTGTGCCAGATGCAAAACAAGAAACTGAAAGTTAGACTGAAAAAGCTAATTCCTTGTTTTTCTGACTCAAAATCATGTAAAAAAAAGGACCCATTCTGTAATTTTCATACTTGTGTACAACAAAATTGCCCTTAAGACATCTTAATTGAATTTGTCATAAAAACCCAAGAATAATTTAGAGCTATTATAGCAGATAACAGGAAACACTTAAGAGCTTTGCATTTATAAGAAAGAAAAACTATTCTACATAAAACAAAGACTTTGTTCATGCTGCTTTGCTCATTAAAACCATCAAACTTAATTATTTTAAAGATAGGTCATTTTAAAAGGTTATCAA